AAACCATTTCAGGTGACTACCTCTTGAAGCTCATGGAGAGAATGCCAAGAGTGTGCAAAGCAGTAATCAGAGCAAAGGGTGGCTATTTTGAAGAAACTAGAATATAAAACATGTTTTCAGTTATTTCACCTTTTTTTGTTAAGTACATAACTCCACATGTGTTCATTCATAGTTTTGATGCCTTCAGTGAGAATCTACAATGTAAATAGTCATGAAAATAAAGAAAACGCATTAAATGAGAAGGTGTGTCCAAACTTTTGGCCTGTACTGTATATATATATAACCACGTTATTCTTGATCCCCATTTACGTCCTGGATACGGTCAGAGTGCTCCATCTTATCAGTTTAATGTAATGAATCAGGTTGAAATGTTATTTTTTAAGTTGTGTTTTTACCTCAGAGTTCTGAAAGTTTCCAGGACTGAATATACAGAATGTTTTTTTTGTCTTTTTTCAAATTGAAATCAGTTTCAAACCAGCAGCTACATTTGCAGAGAGCAGCATCCAAAGATGGAGAAGGTAAGAAACATGTTAAACTTCACTAAAAACATATTTTGTCTTTTGATAATGAAGGTCTAAATAAGTGTCAGTTGTAATGAAGTGAGATCACAACAAATTAAAACACATGGAAGTGTAGAGTGAAGCTGCTGATCGCTGCCAGGCTGTATGAGTATGTGATAGTAGAGTGTATCAAACAGTTATAATACAAGGAGAGAAAAATATCAGTATAACAGCTGATTACAAACTTATCAAAAGTATGTTAAAGTGAAACATTTCCACACAGAGACAGATGTCAGAGTGTGAGTGTGAGGAGACAGTCAGTGAGGTCCAACCTGCTGCAGCTCAACCTGATCTCCAGTCACAACCAGAGTCCTCTGGTCCACAGGTGAGACACATCACAAATTACAGTTACTGATCAAAATGGCGGTTACAAAGGGGGTTATCTGAATTTATTCTTTTCAGTAAAAGGTTTACACGTAGGATTTGACATTCATTCTGTTGCTTTGAGTCTCTGCTTTGTGCAGGAATGACTTCTTCTCACTTCTAATGATTTGTTAGAAAAGTAATCAAATGTGATAAGTTACATTACTTTGAATAAGTAATTAAAATAGATATATATCTTAGGCTAACTAGTAATCTGTAACCTCTTACATTTTAAAAGTAACCTTCCCATCACTGAGTAGTTGAGTAAAAAGAGCAGCAGGTTATTTGCCTTGACTCATGGTTGTCCTTTGTGTCTCCCTCTGAACAGGAAGTGATGTCAGCATGTGGGAACAGCAGCTTTAAAGCTGAGCAGCAGGATAAACAGGAGAAGAAGAGGAAGAGGAACCAGCTGATGGATGATGATGATGAGACATCAGCTGATCAGGAGTCCTTCCGGATCCACGGTCTGAGTGTGGAGCGTTACAGACAGATCTATTACTCAGTGCTGCAGCCGTCTGTCCTCGCTAACCTGTCCTCTGCCAGTCCTGCTGTGAGACATTTTATTAACCTCAACACCTGCGACACGTCAACACCTGCAACCTGTCAACACCTGCAACCTGTCAACATTTGCAACACGTCAACACCTGCAACATGTCAACACCTGCAACACATCAACACCTGCAACATGTCAACACCTGCAACACGTCAACACCTGCAACCTGTCAATATTTGCAACACGTCAACACCTGCAACACGTCAACACCTGCAACATGTCAACACCTGCAACACGGCAACACCTGCAACATGTCAACACCTGCAACACGTCAACACCTGCAACCTGTCAATATTTGCAACACGTCAACACCTGCAACATGTCAACATGTGCAACACGTCAACACCTGCAACATGTCAACTTTTGCAGCTTGTCAACATGTGCAACACGTCAACACCTGCAACACATCAACATCTGCAACATGTCAACACTTATGACATATCAACACCTGCAACACGTCAACACCTGCAACACATCAACACCTGCAACACATCAACACCCGCAACATGTCAACACCTGCAACACATCAACACCCGCAACATGTCAACACCTGCAACACATCAACACCTGCAACATGTCAACACCTGCAACACGTCAGCATCTGCAACAGCATCTGCAACAGCATCTGCAACATGTCAACATTTGTAAGGTGTCAACATCTGCAACATGTCAACACCTGCAACACATCAACATCTGCAACATGTCAACACCTGCAACACGTCAACATCTGCAACATGTCAACATCTGCAACATGTCAACACCTGCAACACATCAACATCTGCAACATGTCAACACCTGCAACACGTCAACATCTGCAACATGTCAACACCTGCAACACGTCAACATCTGCAACATGTCAACATCTGCAACATGTGCAGCATCATCTGCAACATGTCAACATTTGCAATGTGTCAACATCTGCAACATGTCAACATCTGCAACACGTCAACATCTGCAACATGTCAACATCTCTTTTTAATAGTATATTTTGATATTATAGTTCTTTATTTATTTGTTTATTTATTCATTCATTTATTTATTTGATTTCTCTCTACTCCACAAACACCTGCTCTGGATCAAACACCCACCTTTCAGATTCTTCCTCTTATAATAATGTGTGTGATGTTTCCTGCAGCAGTTTGATATGAGACATGATAAAAGTTTAATGTGGTCTCATTTTGCAGGAGTACGTGTCGCAGGTCCTGGAGCTGAAGCAGAGTCTGTGGATGGCGCTGAGTCGACCTCGGCTGCAGGAGACGGTCGGCGAGGACGGAAGTGTGGAGGTCACAGAAATATTTGATCTGACTTAACATGTTTGATTCATGTAGAAAACTTGTAAATAAATCTGTATTTTACACAGAGGAACAATATGACAGGAAGTTCACAGCATCCGCAGCTGACGTTTATTTGCATGAGTGGTTTTGTGAGCTGAGCTGGTGGAGATGGACTCTTCGTCTTCTCCTGATTCTAATGTTAAAACTACTCTCAGGTTTCTTTAATTAAAGCACCACAGAAGAAGATGCCACAACATTTACAGTTTACTTTCCACTCAGGTTTATTCTGCACAGATTTAAATACAATCACACCTACTGAATAAATAATGAGATCATCATTAGCTGCAGACCTACATGTTCAAACACATTTCTATCCTACCGACCCTTTCAGGGCTGACATCACCGTGACGTCAGTTTGTTAGTTGGAGGCAAAACACGACTCCCCCCACAGGGCTGTGGCTACATAGGAGTCTTAAAATGTCGTCTTGTTGAGTGCGCTCCGACATGAATATTTCCAAATGCACCACTCACATCATCCTCCTACATTGTCTAAAACAAGCCAACAGAACTTGCTAGCTAGCTCTAGCTAATGCCTGTGGAGAAATGTTTGGCCTCCAGCTAAGCCCCGCCCACCAAAAAACATCATACGGTTTACTAACAGCTAAAGGGTCTACATAAAGAGGTGATCTACTCGGTCTGTGTTTTGGAGTTGGGGCTCTGTTGCACTTTGGCCCAGCAGCTCGCCCGTCTGAAGCGGGACAGGTAGAACATGGGGCCGATGAACAGGCCGAAGTTTGGGAAGAGCAGCAGGACCTGCAGGACGGTACACTGTGTGGGGCTGACGTTCTCTGTGGACTGGGAGACGATCACAGACACGTACGGGACCAGAGCCACCAGAGGAGAGTACGCCACGACTGACGGCACCATCACCACCACGATGTTCTTCAGAGCACGTCTCTTAAGCGGCACGCTGGATCCTGAAGCTTCGCCCGGTCCACTCTGACACAACACCCACACGATCCCCAGCAGACACAGCAGCATGAGCAGGAAGAGCAGCGAGATGGTGATGGACATGGACAGAGCCATGGTGAACATCTGGACGAAGTACCCCAACAGGGCCACGGCCAGGGTGAGTAGCCAGGCACAGGCACACAGCATGGCCCGGTACTCCCACCTCCCCAGCCTGATGTAGAGGACAGGCCGAGCTGCCGCCACGTAGCGTTCCAAACACATGAAGGTCAACAGCAGCGGGCAGCCTAACAGGTTGAGTGCAAACAGGGCCTCTCTGACGGAGCTGGTCATCTGAGAGGTCTCATGTAGGGTGGAGTAAATGTCTAGAGGCAGGCAGAGAGAGTACAGGACGTCCATGAGGGACACGTTGAGTCCCAGCACCTCCGACGCTGTCATGGCTCGCCTCCTCTTCAGCAGCAGCCACATCAAACCTGCATTAGCTGGGAGGGCCGTCACCAGTATGAAGATCTTCACCACTAACCAGCCCAGTTTACCAGTTTCCAGATGACACTGGGTCATCATCTCAGTGTAACTGTCCATAGAGGACAAGAGCATAGACCAGAAGTGGCTGAAGGAGTGGCTCCCGCTGATGGAGTGGTTGGAGCTGATGTTGGAGTCATTGACAGACGATGGAGGAGACGTTGTGCTGCTGTTTCCCATCACGACCAGTCTGAGGACGGAGGAAGAAAAGTTATTATCTGCACAGGAAATTAGCACCAAAAAACTAAACTCATTCACACTCTCATCATCATCATCATCATCATCATCATCATCATCTTTGCTCCTGTAGAGGACAGCCTTCAGTGCTTTCAGTGCAGCTAAAGAAGAAGAAAACGTCCATGATCCTCCACAACAAATACATTATAAAGGAATATCAAAGATAAAACACACCGTCATGTTTACACAGTGACAGAGTGAAGGGAACAAACACTGAAGGCATGAAGGTGATGAGTTATGATAAATTGACAGCATGAATTATTAATGTCGGAGCATCAGGTGCTCTGCAATTCATTTCATTTCATCTCTGTGATGCCTTTGAGGCGTCCAACAGCTCAGGACATCAGGGGCCATATTCACAAAGCTTCCTCGTACAAAGAGTTGCTCCTAGAATTTCCCCTTGAAGTTAAGTCTAGGTCTTTGTAAAGATAAAAGTTATTCACAAAACTTCTTCGACCTTAAAAGAGCTCCTGTGGTGAAAAACTGTTGGGAGCAGGGAGGAAGACTTTTCAGAGGCTTAAGAGTTTCTTAATCAGAGGAGAAAATGGTGGAAACACAAAGAGGTCGGAGAAATATTCTCCAAACTCTGGATGACAGTGAGTAAGTGAAATGCTACAGAATCATGTTTGTGGTTGATCCAAAGTCTACAATGGTTGAAATAAGGGTCCCTCAAGGAAAGGGTTGGGAACCACTGGTTTAAATACATGACAAGGAAACTGGTAAAACAAACTTCAACATGTCATCATAGGTTGAACCATTTCATTGTCCATCCCATACAGCCTGTCCATTTCTTTGGTGCAATGCATGATGGGATATAATGCTTCGTTAATGACAATCAGATACTCAGAGTCCCCTGTATAGGGTATAATAATTCCTACTATACATTTGGACAGCACTACAGAATGGCGACCTCACTATAGTGGACTATATAGTGGGTAGTTAGTGATTGCCGACACAGCCTTAGACTTTTTAATCCAAGTTTCTGGTGTTTCTGGTGGAGCAGGAAAATCACTTTCAATCACTGAAAATAAAACTTTGAAGTCTGATTATGAGATTATTGTTTTACATTCTGATGTTTTCTACACGTCACTCTTTTTTCTCAGTGTCGGTGGTTTCCAGTTTGGTGTGGAGGTTTGAGGAGGTTTGAAGGCGATGGACGAGGAGAGAGTGATTTACATATGATCTGCATACTTTCCCCTGAAACCCTCAAACTGTGAGTGCTTGACATCTGTTTTTACTCTCTGCTGATTTTCTTTAAAACAAAGAAAGTTGAGACTGAAAAATCCTGTCAGTTAAAAGAGATTCAATCTGAAATCTGTCACTGAACAACCCATCAGAAACCCAAAATAAAATAGAATTTTTAGTGTCTGTGTTTTATTTTTCTGTGGAACTTCATGCCCAGTTAAATGTTATTTTTATGTGCGAATTCAAACTCTGATTAGAAACATGTACGTCACATTTCATTAAGTTTTCCCTCCAAAAACTCCACATTGTAAATACTGTTACTGTTTTCTATTGTCTGATGTGTTAAACAGGTTGTTATCAATGATGATCAATAAGTTATATTTGCTATGAACAGAGTAAAGTGGAGAGTATTTCATGTTGTTCTGTGTGTTGATTGAACTGACCTTGAGGATGCAGAGGATGATGATGATGATGAAGATAGATGTCTGCAGCTCAGTGAGGAGTCTCTCTGCTCCTCTTCATCCTTTATAAAGACGCAGCAGACCCTCCCACCGCCCCGCAGGACGTTTGCATACAGACGCATTTGTTACAAAACAATCTTTGCGTCCAGCATGCAAATGTCCTCACCTCATATTTCTGAACGTCGTCAGTGTTAACCTGAAGCTCCCTCTGAGGGACGAGGCCTGATGATTACTGCTGATCATCAATTATCTCAGTGACTCTAAAAGACACAGAATGATCACTTCCTGTTTTATTGGACTGGTTTCAGCATGTTGTTTGATTTCTACACTCTGAACATGTTCAGTTTATAACCAGTCAGGACGCCATGATGACGGACCTGCTGTCTGTCAAACACAACTTTACATGTGTCACATACTCTATAATCAACACTCAAAGATCCTCATCTTCATCTTCATCTACCTGCCTGCTCTATCACTTTGCTATTCTCTCTGCACTCGACTACACCGTTCCCTTCACACCTCCCATCAGCCAACACTCCCTGCTCCCTGCCGCAGCCCATCTCCATTCTCCCTTAACCTCAGAGTAAATCTATTTTATTCTGTTCCTTACTGGAGTCTATATACAAACCTTGACAGAAAACATTAGTGAATTGTAACTGTCTGTTTCCCTTTTTCGTCAGCATGTATTTGCTCAAAAATTTCTTTAAACATATAACTTCTTTAACCGTTTGAAACTGAAGCAAATTGCCTTTTTTTCCTTCAAAAACATGGGAAAAAAGCAATGAGCAACAAAAGATGAAATGAGCCAAAAAATGAGTTAGCAAAAAGAGAAAATCAAAAACGGGAAAATTTGTTTAAAAAAAAAGAAAGAAAAAAGAAAGAAACAAACAAAAAAGGAAATGACTTGGAAAAAAGCTTGAAAATTAAAGTATAATTCTGCAACATAATTTTAAATATATATAATAATGATACTTAGAAATATAGTTTTTCCCTATCTTTCCCCTCCCTAGCCTTTGAGAAATAACTTACTAAATCTCTTAATTTTTTTGGCAAGTTGCTCATTTCCTTTTTTCCCATGTTTTTCAAAGACATTGCACCAGTTTGCTCAGAGGTCAAAGGTTTGAATACTTATGAATGGCGTCTGAAAACAGCACAAGAAAGGAGATATCACTCCAATTTCAAAGGGTTAAAGACATATATGACATCTTCTTTAAAGCCGCTATAAGGAACTTTTAACTGGATATGCAAAAGTCTCTTGTTTCTGCTGATGTCTGTGCGTGACCTACAACAGCAAATGAGACCATCGGTGTGCCGACGACAGGTACCAGCCAGGCGTCGACAGGGTCCAGCAAGTGCCGAGAAATAAAGAGGCGAGGCACCGCTCCATACTCAGTCCAAGAAGCCGTGGAAGTGCTCGCCAAACAGGCCTTCAGCCTTACCAGCCAACCGCTGCGTTTACCCCGGCGGCGGCGGTGGCGCTTACGCCAGAGAGGTGGAGCTGGGGCGCGGCAGAGGTGAGCTGGGATCCCCGATAGGAGCGTGGGCAAAGTTTTCCCGTCTTGTTGTTTCATTCATCCCCAAAGCAAACACATGTGCGAGCCAGGTAAGCGTCTTTACGACAATACGTGCTAGAGCTCATGGGAAATGTAGGCTTCATTCCGGCAAAACACTACCGCTTTTGTCCACAGGGTTGCCAAAATCAACTCAAAATGAAAGTTCCTTGTAGGGGCTTTAAATATATAATAACTTTTAAAAAATATATATATAATAAGTTTTTTTAAACATATCTACAATAACTTCTTTAAATATATATATAATAATTTATTTAAACTATATATCATAACTTCTTATAAGCTCCAGTCTGTAGGATTTAGTGACAGCTAGCAGTGAGGTTGAGAAATGAAACTATGGTGGCTGATATGAAAACTTGAATGTCTCTATCTAGAGTCAGTGTTTGGTTTGTCCGTTCTAGGCTACTGTAGAAACATGGTGGTGCAACATGGGGATTCTTATTTTCAAGTGATTATACACTCAAGAAAGAACCATTATTATATTATATTATATTATATTATATTATTGTTTTCTATTTCTATCAACATAATCCCTATAAATCCTTCACACTGGATCTTTAATATATGTATATATTCACACACATATAAAGGATTTGAATGGTGTTGTGTAGTCTTGAGATGAGATGAAGACGACCATTTATCTTCATCACAACATCAGGGTTAAATACACATTTATGCTGTTTTATTTTGAAAAACCAACTGACAGCACAAAACTGAAGCAACATGACCGAAAGCTGCTCACGTCAAAGTTTGGTTCCGCTCTCTTCACAACGGAAAACATTTATTATTATTACCTGAAAGAAAGGATTTACAGCAGCAGCTTTTCACAACCTGGATCAAAAGTAACTGTTCATAATAATAATACTATCTATAAAGCATCAGTGAATGATGTTATTAAGCATGATTACAGCCTTTACTGACAGTTTATCACCCCTTTATTACAGCTGATTGATTAGGTATGGAGGATGGAACCTGCCAGAATCAACAAATAAATAAATTACAACATTAATACAAATAAATAAATAAAAGGGAAAACTAATTAGGAAAGTAAATAAATAGAGGAATTAATACAATGTCTATGTTTCTTTATAATATTATTTTTGTTACATTTAATGGCACGTTAAGAGTCATTTATTTATTTACAATTTTGGCAGCTTCTGTCCTCCACAGTTAGACAGCAACACTGTCATGTGGAATGTAGTAAATCTTATTTACACGTTTCTGTTACAGGTACGTGTCACTGATGTTTTGAACCAATCAGAGCTCAGAGATACAAACACAGGTGTGATGTGATGTTTTAAACCAATCAGAGCTCAGCGGTGACTCAGGTGTGACGTGTCAGATGCCCATGTAGGTGTTCATCTTGCCCAGAGCGTCACACACGGTGTTGAGGTCGCTGCGCAGGTCCTGCACCACGTTCTCGATGCCGCGGGTGTCTTTGAGCAGGTCGATGCTCTGAGTGTACGGGTTGTAGTACACCGAGAACGGACGCTTGATCGTCTTAGCAAACTCCCTGTGAGTAGAGAGGAGACACCGTCAGCACCACGACCACGAGACAGGTTCCTGAACCTGACCTCTGGTCAGGAGCTGATACTGAGTCCAAGTTCAGGGACTCTCAGCAGGAAATAGCAGGTTCATTATCAAACATGAGAGTTTTAGTGCACAGGTGATATTCTGATTCAGATATTCAGAGTGTTAAATGTTAAATTACATCTCTCAGTAACTTTCTCAGTCATGCTGCATCTCTACATTTGATTTAATCTTGAAGAATCTAAAGCTCAGACATGTGCGCAGTGTGTCCGACAGTCTGTTCTCTAACAGATGTTTCTTCGTCTTCTCTTCAGGAGGAAATGGAGCAGCAGGATGTTTTAGTTTGACGGGGCAGACAGAGGGCGAGCTGACAGCCGGCTCTGAGAGCTGATCTGGGGTCAGTCTAATGTTCTGTTCATCTAACCATACTGATGTTAACACATGCATAAGCTCCACATCTTCTTACAGCTGAACGCAGCTCTGCTGACAAACTGAAGGTTTAAAGTAAAGTAAAGTAAAGTTCCACTGATTGTCACACACCTGAGTGTGTGAAATTTGTTCTCCGCATTTGACCCATCCCCTGAGGGAGCGGTGAGCAGCAGCGGTGCCGCGCTTGGGAATCATGTGGTGATCTAACCCCCCAATTCCAACCCCTGATGCTGAGTGCCAAGCAGGGAGGCAATGGGTCCCATTTTTATAGTCTTTGGTATGACCCGGCCAGGGATCGAACCCACGACCTCCCAGTCTCAGGGCAGACACTCTACCACTAGGCCACTGAGCTGGTAGTTGGTGGTTTAAATGAGGTTGATTATTAAATGTTCTGGTTCCCACACAGTGGAGCTGACAACATCTGGTTCTACCAGGTTCTGAGAGGCCCCAGTCTGCAGGTTAGGTTCCTGTTGTAGACCAGGACACTGACAGGAGGAGACAGGGATCGGACTGACGATCCTTAGATCTCTGAACCCATCACCCATCGGTTTGATGATAATTTAGCCTCTGAAGGCAACAGCTGATATTTCAGGAGTTCAGTGTTGCCAACCTGGTCTCACTCCGAAGTTGTCGAAATCTGGTGCCTGGGCAGTGGCTTGGGGTTTCAGACACTGACGGTAAAAGCCGTCCTTTAACTTTGTCAGGGGGAAACGTGGTGGGACAAGTACCAAAGTTAAAGTGGCGAAAGTCCAAGTAGGGTAGGGCAGAACGGGTGGTGGATGGGTCCAACTTTTACCCGGGAGAGCAGTGTTCACGTCCTGCAAGATTAGAAAGCCAAACCCTGTTCTTTTTTTCTAAACCCAACCATCAGCATCAGTTGTTGGAGGAAAAAAAAAACACATAAATTTGCGTTGTATATGTATTTTGAAAGAAGACAATGCATGTAACAGGCAGAACATGACCAAATGTCGATATGTGATGGAGTGAGAATGTGTTGCGTTGGTGTAGCAGATATCTGAGGCAAGACTTCATCTGCACTGCTCACTGATTACTGATCTCTATCGGCAGATATCTGCAGGCAGATCAGCTAAAACAAAAAACTAATAAAAAGCCAATCTGGAATCCTTTACAATGTAAATTGCAGAATCTTTCTTGAGAGATTAATAAAAAGCTGATTGGTTATCAGGTGATGCAGTTTGCAGCTAAGTGTGAAGCGGTCAGGATGAGTGTCAGCACCTCCAGGTCTGAGGCCGTGATTCTCTGCCAGAAAACGCTGGATTGCCGCCTCTGTGTTTGGAGGGAGTTACTGCCCCAACAGAAGGAGTTTAAGTATCTTGTTGATGAGTGAGGGTAGAATGGAGGATGAGATGGACAGGTGGTGTTGTGCGGCGTCAGCAGTGATGCAGGTATTGCACCGGACTGTCGTGGTGAAGAGGGAGCTGAGCCAGAAGGCAAAGCTGTTGATTTACTGCTCCAACTACATCCCAACCCT